TTCCTCACAGGTCACGTGGTACAGTTCCCGTTCTATAAGTGTAGAATTCTGTGACAGCAGTCGATCTGCGCACGCAAGGAGGTGCTATTCCTATTCTTCTTCTGGAAAAACGAAAGAGAGCTTCAAAACAGACCGCAGCGCCATCTGAAGCAAAGAGCATACTTCCTGCGGACACTTTTTTGGCTGAGTGAACCATCTTGTTATGTACTATCATTGGTCGCGTTTAGCGAGGCCTAGGCCTAGCTTTCTGCGGCTTAGCCTTGCGCAATTAGAGATCTGGCCAAGGTTGCATTTGTAAACAATGTCTCTACAATTCTATACTCTTCTGGTCTACAGAATAGGTTACACATTATATTGATGAAAACAGGACAACACATTTAATAATATATTGAATTCTAGCTATAAAATAATGTCGATCACGCATAAAACCAAAACATGTCTTGATAACGTAGACCGAAACTAGATCTAGATTCTAGAGATCTAATCTAGTCAGTGTCAGTAGTTACATAAGAAAAAAAGTCATCTAGATCTATAGGCTTCCAGCATAATAAAAATATGCCTGCCTTAGCCTAAATACACGGTGATCTAGCTTACAACACAAGCAGTTTAATTTAAGATAGCCTAATAAAGGTTAATACATTTTTACTTATTTTACTAATAATACTAATTAGTTACATATATTAGCCATGGTCTTAACTGTGGGTAGGGAAGAGTTGGAGAGAAAAGAAAGAGAGCATGCAATAGCATATATAGATCTATAGACCTATATATAGGCAATTGTGAGGAAAGGCAACAAACTGTAGAAACAGAAAACAGATTTCATTTTGTGTCGGCTATAGGCATATGGATAAAAACAGGAATACAATGCAACAGATCAAACTCACCAAAGGCCTGGCTTATATAATAATATATTTATATAATATGTATGTATAATGCATCTTTCATGGATTAATACAATGTAGCACTTTACTGAAACTGGCTCTTACAAGTGGGCGAATGTGACAGTCTTTCTTAGACTGCTTTGCTGTATGCATTGTCTTTTGCTGATTCTTTTGTATTATATTAATTATGTCCATACTATACTTCTCTGTCAGGCACATAAATTTGGGACATTACAAACTTCAAGGGCGGTTCTGACAGGGTCAAGCTAGCACTTCCTTACTTAATTAAATAAGCTTTGTAATTTCTTTGTTTCTTTAATTTTGTTACATGTATTCCGTAGTAGATCTATTACAGCAGGACATTGT